CCATAGGTAATTTTGGGTGGGAGATGCAAAGAGAGAATCCCATTCAGAGAACAGAGTTTGAAAAAGACAAGGGAGCAGAATGTCACTGCTTAGGAAGCTGAAGGGATTTCCACTCTCGCCTCCTTAGGGCCCCACAGCATCCTTCATCTCCCTTCAATTCTCCTTGTTCTCCAACCCTCCCCTCAAGCTCAGAGAAAGAGAGAGAAAATAAGAAAGCAACATGAATTTATGCCAAGAAAGAAACTGCAGCTTCTCAAAAATGGAAGACAGGGTCATCCTCCTAATATTTTGAAAGTGGACTGTTCCAGAGAGCAGCAAGACGTGTCAGGAATGAGATTGTTCTGAGCAGGGCCTCAGGAACACTGCCGGGCTCCACCAGGGAGATGAAAGAATTTTCTCCTTCCTTTGCCTTTTAAATGTAATTCTGTCTGCCCTCTCCACCCCGCACACCCTGTCGACCCTCTAGGTGAGAGCAGTGCAGACATTTAGCCATTCTGGGAAAAGACAGGATCCTTTTCATTAACTTCAGCCTGATTGGAGTCCCTAGGGCCATGGCAGATTTCATTTTCCTCCCTCTCTGCCTCCCTGTCTTGGATCCCCCCCAACCCCCGACACAGCAAGGCTACCATGAGCAGTGAACTGTTTCCCAATGGGATGGAGTGGAGATAGGGTTCAAGCAGGGGAGGCAGTAGAGAAGGGTCTGGGACGTGCACTTTTCAAGGCAGTGACTTTGAGGAGGGACATGTATACTTCCTCCCCATGCTTCAATTTCCCCTGGATTTCTGAGCAAATCTATCCCAGCTTTAGGGTAGAAATCAGCAGCCGGTTATGTCTGGTTGTCAGTGATGGACTGGACAGATATAATCTCTAGTGGAGGTTTCTGCAGAGGTGCTCGGGTTAGCAGACTCAACCAATCCCATTGTTAATTAGCAGTGTGATCTTGAAAATGTCACTTATCAGCTTCTTCTGCAAAATAAGGACTTAGTGTGGAGTTTTAAGGTATGTTTTAGTACCAAACATTGGTTTTCAACTGAAGTCACATACAAGAACCAGGGAAAAGCAGAGCCGCTCTGAGTGAAGGTAGAGAGACAGGCACAGTGTGAGCCCTTTGTCTACACGTTTTCTCACCCCAGTTTCCCAGCAGAGGTGGCTCCTGAGCCCACTGGGGACACACTGATTTTCTCCTCTTCTCCAGGGGCCTCCAACTGCCTCCCCAAGACCCTGACACTAAGAATGGAACTCTTCTGCAATATCCTGATGTAGGTGGTCTGTGATCTTTTCCTTTATTTCTAATCCACACTTGAGCACCATATATTAGTGCCTGACGTTCAGCTGTTTCTCCATCCCTTGGTATGGAATTTGTAGACTTACGGGAAGTAATCTGCTTTGAAAAGGGGAGTGCTCAAGATACAGGGCCTATGTTTGACCCAACAGTCCATGCATTTGGTTAGAGCGTGGTTAGAACTCAGAAAGACCAAGAAGGCAGAAGGCCAGAAAAGCCAGAAAAGCAAGGGGTCATGGCGTAATGGTGAGGAAAGACACACTCTTGTACATACCGTTTTCAGGACTCATTGTGAGGAGATGTCACAAACCTTGCCTCTGGTTGTTTCCCAGGTCAGATAACACCTTCAATGCATGCTAGTTTGTGAGTTAAACTTTCCAAATCTCCCAAGTAAAGGAATCCAGATAGAAGTTATTTGAGTTCCATCCCTGACATTATATCCCTGCATCCTCCCACACATCATCAGATGCGCTAACACATCTGAACTGGGATGGGCCCATTTAACATTTTACTGTTTCAACCAGAGCAAGGGGTGAGACCCTGATCTCTCCCTGGTGATGGATTTATTCACCCTTCAGCTTCTTTCCCTTTTATACTGTTCTTCCTTAAATTTAACCTCCAATTTCTACACTGAAGCAGCACCCAATATTCTTCTAGTAAAACCTGTAGCGGCTGGAGAAGAGCTTGTCCCCAGTGCCTGAGTTGATTAACTCATTCAATTATTTGAGTGCCTGCTTCACACAGCAAATGTGCTAGGCACTGAGTGCTGTTTCCTTTTGTTGGCTTGGAAGATATCTTTAGCCTGCCTCTCACACTTCTGTTCTCTAGGCTCAGCAATTTAGGTATTCTGGTCCTCACCTCTGGGCTGACAATATTTCCACTTTCCTTTTAAGTCATTCGGCAAACAGGTTATTTAGTGACTAATTGTATATCCAGACTCTTCTCAACACGTTGAGATATGCAAAATTTACATAAGATAGAAGCCATAGTCTTTTTAGACAGGGTCTTGTTGGGCATGTTCTTGTTAGGTGAAAAATAGACGAGTAAAAATACATGCAACAGCATGAAACAAAACTAGGAAGATCTCTGCCTTCTGCACGCCCAGGGTCTGAAGAATTCGAGCTCTGAATCTAATATGCTAACACAAGTTGGTGGGCGTGTTCCTGCACAGGTCACTCTCATGCCCGTACCTCATCCCAGCATTTTATTTTCCCTCCTTTCCAGCTCCATCCCAATGTTGTGCCCAGCTCAAGCTAAAGGTAAAGGTTTACTGATAAACTCAGATGAGTAAATGGTCATTATCAATTAAATACAAGCATTTCTGCAAGGAAGAGTTAGTTAAGGGTTGTTCGTGGGGATGCATGTTTTATGTTACTTTCTGTGGCTCATTTGACTAATATTCTGGCACTCAGCTTTTTTCCTGTGCCACATCTCAACAAATGGTCTCCGGTGCGCTATAATTCAGAGGCATTTTATTATAGAAGAAAAAGCATGAGCTTTGGGAAAATATAGTTGGGGATTTAAATCCCAAATACATGTACTGGCTGTGAAACCTAGAAAATGTTACTTAGCTTCCATAAGTCTCAATTTTCCCATCAGAAAAGAGGAGATACCTTCTGTCTCATGGAGGAGTTGTGAATATTAAAAATGAAAAATTACATAAAGCAGCACCCAGAATGCCAGCCACCCAGGTGATCCTCGATGTATCCTAATTCCCTACCTTTCTCCTTAAGGTAGGCTATGGCTGGCACTTAACAGATGCAAATGGAGGTGTGTTAGGATTGGCCATTTCCTTTTTCACATCTTTGCTCTTGTACCTGCTCCCACCTGAAGTGCCTTGCCCTACCACCTTTCCAGTGAATTCAAGGCCAAATGCAAGCTCCATCTTATTTCAACAAGCCCACCCTGACTGCTCTTGCTTCATTTCCCCAGTTTGATGCTCACACTCGACTACACTCTGCTCCCACTGATGTACACGTGTCTGCATGTCTGATTCTTCCACCAAACTATAGGTTCCTTGAAGGCAGGGACTAAGTCTATCATTACATTTCACCCTTAATTCCTAGCATGTGGCCTAATGGGTTGTGGCTTGGCTGTTTCATTACAATCGGAGGGGTCAAACCAGCTCTCCACCAGGATGGTGCTGCCTGCCACCAAGACACCTTCCACATGGGGGAATCTAGCCTGCAGGATGGGGAATGTGGGGTTGGGGAACAGCAAAGTGTTTACCTTCTCCACCTCTCTTCTGCTGGATCCTAGCTTCAACATCACTTCAGCACCATTTATGGCAGTCATTTAAGGAAGCTAAAAAATCCAGTTGAGCTTTTGCGAAGGCTGGAGGCCCTGGGGCTCAGCATGACTTCTTCTCTTTCTTGACCCAAACAAAACATTGTTACAGCAAACATGAAATCTTTTCTATTTTTCACAAATGCTCTCCAGGCCTAACAAAGCTAGCAGTCACCCTCCTTGAATCAAAATAAGCATCTGCCCTTTTTCTCTTTATCTTACACTTTCCCAGCATGTATTATAAGAATGCGATTATTTTACTAATTAGTCTTATATTTTTATTTAACTTTTTTGGTGCAAAACCCTGGAAAGGATGCAAAAATATTTAAAACCTTAACTTTAGTCTTTAATATTGATTAAACACAGAGGTGCAGAAAGTCCATATAACTGACGCTTACTCTTTTATGTTGTGTATGATTGTTTGAAGCATAAATGATAAAAACCTAAATAGTGTATAAAATCATAGGCAGCCTATGACAAAGGGAAACTGAGTCACATGTAGCTGTGAAGAGGAGAGGGTCATTTTTACTGAGCTCATTTTTTTGTTTGTTTTAATAAAGAAAAAACGGTCGGGCACAGTGGCTCATGCCTGTAATCCCAACACTTTGGGAAGCCAGGGCAGGCATATCACCTGAGGTCAAGAGTTCGAGACCAACCTGACCAACATGGAGAAACCCCGTCTCTACTAAAAATACAAAAATTAGCTGGGCATGGTTGCGGGCACCTGTAATCCCAGCTACTTGGGAGGCTGAGGCAGGAGAATCGCTTGAACCTGGGAGGCAGAGGTTGCCGTGAGCTGAGATCATGCCACTGCACTCCAGCCTGGGCAACAAGAGTGAAACTCCATCTAAGAAAGAGAGGGAGGGAGGGAGGGAGGGAGGAAAGGAAGGAAGGAAGGAAGGAAGGAAGGAAGGAAGGAAGGAAGGAAGGAAGGAAGGAAGGAAGGAAGGAAGGAAGGAAGGAAAGAAGGAAGGAAAAACCCTCGTAGAGGAGATGGACCTTTGTTTCTGAAGCAGTAAGTCTTGTATCACAGACCACTTTGATAGCAGGAAGAAAGCCAGGGCCCCTCTCTCTAAGGAAATATATACATCTACAGATTCACACATACTTACAATTTCAGGGAGCCATGGACCTGATGAACTCCATCCATAGCCCATGGTTCCTAATTTAAGAGCCTCTGAAGAACTGATAGCACATAGAAATAATTTAGAGAGAGCATCAAGAGAGAGGTGGTGAAGTCAGAGATGGAGCACAAAGTGGGAAGGCCACTGAGCCTAGATTCCCGGTCCAGAAATCTCACATTTGTCTTCTGCAATCCCACTTCTGTAGCTCTCATCCAGGCTATGGTAAGTCCATTGCTGGTCAGTTGTCATGGGGATACTGTATGCAAACTGAAAAGTGTCACTGAGAACATTTCTTTATTTTTTTCCAGCTCCTCACAGCCAGTGACCTTGCAGCCAGTGACCTCAAAGGATTTCAGCCACAGGTAAGTTCCACTGATGCTCTTATGAAGTTTGGAAGAGTGAAATGCTCCACAGTTTGGTGGTCAACAAGCACCCTTGGGGCCAGGACAGAAATCCCAACCTTGGATTTCTAGCTTCTTTCCCTCGAAATGCTAACTGTGAGAATGACCTGGTAGCTTTCTCTCCTCCTCCAGCTCCTCTCATTCCAGCATGGACAAAACCACCTCTTTTGGCTCTTTCATTCCTAACATTGTATAGTGGAAAAATATATAGAGATCAAGATGCTCGGAATGTTAAGTGTTGGGGATTCAGCTTAGGAAAGGGTTAAACCAAAGGCGGCAGAGGGTGGGATGGGGTTGGGGTTCTCCCTTGTATTTCTCTCTTTTTGGAAAGGACACTCACATTTCTGTAATCTTTGCGGCAAATGCCTCACAGTCAAGGCCTGACAGCCAAGTTAATCTCAGACTCCTGCAGAGGCAGACAGTTGAGGTTGGCTGATCTTGGTCAGGAAATGGGCCGCTGTTATCTCTGGCCAGAGTGGTGTTTGGAGGTTACTATGGGCAAACTGTGTGAGGGTGTAGGCAAGGGCTTTCTGGAGACTTTTTTGCAGGGGTGAAGATGGACATCTTCCTCCCTGTCTCTGGAAAAGGAGTCTATACACAAACATATAAATACCAAGACACATACAAATCCCAGCTATACAAAAGCCCTTGTTTGCTCACACAGAGCCCAGTATAGGTAGAACGTATACATAAAGAAAGATAAATCCAACGGTGATCATTAGGGGACTTGGCCCTTGCCCTGTCCCCCTTGCAAAATGAAACTTTCTGTCACCCTTCAGCTCAGTGCCTGCCTCAAGGTCTCAGTGCTGTACCTTTGTGGGAAAATACATTATAGCTAATGGCAGTGAACTTCCAGGGGTCAGCAAATACTTTTCTAATTGCAGGAGTTTCATATATTTGGAACGTTTTCTTCTTTAAAGGTGTTTCACATCCAGGAGCCCACTGCATCCTCCCTACCCTTCTCCCAGGTGAGCCACATCCTGTGTGTACCCTCTCACTGCTGAGGAACCTGAGGACCCAGTCCTGATGCACAGTGGCCCCAGATCACACAGAGAGCTAGGAACAGGCGACAGTGGGAGGCCGGAGGAAGAGAATTCACAGAATCAAGGGCTTCATTGGTGGGAATCAAAGATGGATTCACACACCAGTGTGGGGTGTTGTCATCTCGTCCGTCTTGTTGATCCTCCTGTCTGGAAAGTAGTGAGTTTTTAGACAGACGTGGCCAGTAAGCCTTTTTTGTCAACCATCGAAAACTGTTAATTAATTACTTATTCACATGTTTACGCAAACTTCCAGTTTGGCTAAGGGAATGTGAAACAAAAACAAAAGAAAATCCACATTTACCACCTACCCCACTCACCTCTGCACCTACGCTCATACATGGTGGCAATGCCAGCTAATTATTTTGTTTTAATCTGAAAATTTATAACATTAAAGAAAATTGTGTGGTGCCATTTTACTGCTTGAAAAGGACACCCGGTAGAGACTGAGTTTATTGGAGTTGTGTGTGTGTGCGTGGTTTTGGCATGGTTTCCTTCTGAGCTGAACACGTTCTGTCCATGTTTGTTGACCTACACTTTTAGATATTAGATTTAAACTAATAGAGCGAACTTTCCAGTGAAGGAGAATTTAGATATATTTAAGGTTCGTGCATAACATTTGAGAGCATGATCCTAGAAAGGCAGCTCCCAGGCTCCCCCACAGCCAGCCCCACAGCTTCCAGTGCAGATGGCTCGCTCCTCTGGTTCTGTTCAGCCCTTCCATGTTATTCCATTTGTGTGTCATCCCCCTGAGGCTAGAAGCATAAATACATATTTTTCACTCCTCAGGATGCCTGTTCTTGAGGCCAGGAAGTCCTGGGAAACTTGTGGCCAGGGTGTAATGCCCAGATCAAAGTTAATTCTCTAGTGAAAGGTTCAGATGTGTCTCTGGTCAACACCACCCTTTTGGGTGCTTTTTAAAACAGAATCAGAAAGCTGTCCACAGGCTTTGCACTGCCCCCTCCAGCCCCACTGCACCAAACTGCTGGCTTCTGTTGTTATGTTTCCCCTTCTCTCTTTGGGTTTTAGATGAAACTGAGTCTCACACCATAATTCATGGGTGTGTTCCCCTCCAGGACCCATCATTGACTGGCAGGAGGGGACTCCCTGAGGACCCCTCCCAGGGATAAGTATCTGTCCTCTCAGCTTTTGCATAGTGCCCACTTACCACTTGAATGTAGAGGTTTTCTGTTTGTTTTTCTTGATGCTTGTTCCTGCTTTAGACTCTTAAGGAAGATAGTTACAAAATCTTCGATGATTTTGAATGTGTGTAGAGTCGAGTCTGTATTGAGCTGGCTTTTCTGTTCATTTGTCTCTGTCTTCTCTCCGCATCCAGATGGAGAAGAGGAAGGTAAGGAAGTGAGTAGCTGCCTTTCTCCTCATGGTTATTGGTTACTAAAAATGCCACGCTCATTCCTGGAAATAAACACATAACTTTTCAAGATGAGCCTGAAAGCCCGTTTTTCTAAGGTATTATGTTTTAGCGGGGGGCGATCTCCCCAGAGACTGGTGAGCCTGGCCTCTGGGCCACAGGGTAGAGCTTCTGCTAGAGTCAGGCCTGGTGCTGGTAGGCGGGTACTATTCTCAGCAAGTTTTAAAGGCACAGATGGAAAAGCTTCTCAAATTCACACCTAACCCACCCTGACTCTTCTACCTCCAAACACATCTCCTTTTACTTTCTAACATCCTGTTCTTGCCTTTTGAAGCAACAGACACACTTGAGTACCCTCCTAAGCCTGTGCGTTATTGGAAATGAGAACCCTCACTTCTTTTTGTCGGACCAGTCCCCTCCATTCCTAAGAGGAATAAGAGCTGACATTTAATTCTCTTTAGTAAAAGCCCAATAACTATATGCTTTCCTCTGCATTTTTCTTTTATTCGTTTTTTCCTCTAATATAAAAGTTGTAAGTGTCTGTTGTAGAAATTTGGAATATACAGAAAACCATAAGAAAGAAAATACCCTATTATTTCACCTCTGAAACATACACAATGACGTTTTGGCGTATAGTCTTCCAATCTTTGTTCTACATAGGCACACACATCTATTTTTTTTAAATGGTCATATTTTATATGCTTTTTTGTTACCTTATTTTTTGTTGGTTTGCATGCTTTCCACAACACTGGAAAATCTAGCAGCTAGCCATGCTTGCACTAGTTGTTAGTACTGTCATTCATTTACTAGTCCCCTCTTGCTGGACATCCCATTCCTTTTGCAGGCTGAGATCTCCAGGAGCAATCCAAGGCAAATGCTGAGATCCAGTGCCTTCATCCAGGATACAAAGAGCATCCAAGGCTTCTTGGCATTTATTTATTTATTTACTTTTATTTCTCAGTTCCTACAAGAATGTCCAGGCTGCTTAAACTTCGCAGTAAAGTGCCCGTGGGTGATGCCCACATACTTGTGCACATGCTTACGAGGTGGGGGATGTGGTAAGGAGATAGCCATAGCATGGGCACCAAATTCAGATGCATGTCCTGCATGCCCAGCCACCGTGTCAGAACAGTGATGTGACAAAGAACGCCCCCCACAGAGGAAAGCACAGACTAAAGGATTGGGTCCTCACCTGCTACATAAACTCTCTGTTGTCTCAGAGAATAGGGTACTTCCTTTAGGAAAAATGGAGTATTATTTCAAGTGCGGGGCAAATGTAGTGGCTGCCTATGAAGGGTGGCTATTTTTAATGAGTTTCTAAAATGTCAGTTGCTACTATAGTCAAGGGCACACTGTGGTGGAAGGTGAGAAGACAGTAAACCAGAACACACAGGAAAACATGTTTTAGTGCAGAGAAAACAGAACTTTCAGTCACTCAGTTGCCATTTCATTCAACAGGCATCCATGGAAGACCTTTCTGTGGTGCTCCCAGCTATGCACAGACCCTTCCCCAGATGTTGACAGTTCTGGAATGTTCTGCCACCATTGTTAGCTTTGTGACCCTAACGAAGTTATCTAATGTCTTTCATCTTGATTAACTTTATTAAGCAAAGGAGTTGTGCAGCTTATTTCACAGAGAGTATGGGCATCGATGAGACAATGCATGTGAAGGTAGCCTTGTATGCCTGAAATGCACAGTGAGGTATTGTTTTCTTCCACTAGAGAAGTGCAGAATAAATTAATTAAAAATTCAGATGTAGAAGAAATTATATGTCTATGGAACAAGCAGGGAAGTCTTCCCGGCCGAGGTCTTGTTGTACCTGCCAGGGTGGGTGAGAAGAAAGTGAGGCGGTGGACTTGTTCCAGAGCAGGTGAAGTGTGGATGAAGGCTGAGACCACAATGCGGTGCTTGGGTATGTGTGAAGGCTTGGAGTGATTTAATTGCGGAGCCTCAGAGGAGACCATGGTGGGAAATTATATGCAAATTAAAATAGGGCCAAATTTCAGGTCTTAAATGTCTTGAAAATGAAATAATAGTTTTTTTTTAAAAGTCCAAAAAATAAATTGGACTTAAAAATTAACTATTTAAGTTTTCAAACTTACACAAAAGTTAGCATAATAGTGTAATAAACCCGTGTACCTGTTACCCAGTTTCAGTGGTATGCTGCTAACAAAGCCCACATTTGTAGCATTTGGTAAGTTCTGTTGTGTAAATACCTCCATCATGACCAATTTTAAGCTATCAGTGGTTTAGCCACCTGTTGGCAAAGTCTTTGACAGTCAGCTCTGCTCCCCAGCATGCCACTGGAAGAGCTGTCACAATTGTTACCATTTTCCAAACTTGTCTATACTCTCATCTACTTTGATTTTTAATTTTAATTATTTGGGGCTATACTTTAAAACAAATCCCAGTCATTATGTTATTTCACTGATAAATAATTTAATTAACTTATCTAACAAATAAGGGCTTTTTAAGAACAATCAGAATGCCATTATCACATCTATCAAAATTACCAGTAATTTTTAAATGTTTTCAAATACCCAGTCCA